AGATTTACTAAAGCTAGTTCTATAAAAGCCTCGGAGCCTAATGCTCCACAGTGGTCAAAAATTCATTTAGAAAGGTTTAGAGAACAAAGAAAGAAAGCTCCATGGCCCGCTTCATCCTGAACAGGATGTGCCGTCCTCATGTCCTCATCTCCAAAAGATCATCACAAAGTAAGAGAAAGGTGTAGAGAAAGATGACAGAGATGATGAGGGGTATGGAACAGCTTCACTACAAAACCTGAATGTATAGCCTAGGACTCATCGACCTGTAAAGAGAACAATAAGGGGGATGCGAGTGGCATGGAAAAGCTAAATGGAGATCAATTATTCACCATTTCTCATAACATAAAAACTAGGGAGCATCCAATAAAATTGTGAGATGGAATCTTCAAAAAAGGGATGCTGCTTCCCATAAAAGCTAGTTAAGGCACAGAACTCATGCTACAGTTGCAGACAGTAAAGTCTACGAGGGCTCAAAAATGTGCTCAGAAAGCCACTAGACAAAAATAAAATATGCCTCCATCAAAAGCCTGAAAAACATAGCAAAAGAAACAATTCTGCTCAGAAGTCACTGAACAGCAAATTTTCAGAGGCTGGGAGAGCACACCAGAGAGCTACTACTACATGTTCATCTTGTTCTTAAACTTTTCTTTCAATGCCTGCTACTAATAGCTACTGAAGGGTGGATCCTGGACTGGACCACGAGCTGGTCCTTTGATCTGACCCAGTGTATTCATAGTCAGAAAACTTGCTAATACAATAACAGAGATATATAACTGAGGCGAAGCTGGCAAACTATTACCCAGATTTCTCCCCAGATCTGCCCATTTTATGATGGCTTAAGGCATCTCTTAGCATAACTTAAAAAGAAGTGAAACGCAGAAGAGCTGCATTAGGAGTAAAACGGTCCATAAAAGAACCTTCACACACCAACTGCATTTGCATTCTCTGCATTTTGGCTGTAGCTGAAGGCTCTAGCTTAGTGTGATTGTCCAATCTGTTCCAGATTTCACAAAAACATGTTTTTATAACTGTGAATTCTGTCTGCCTACAAAGGAGTTACGATTTGTGGTGTTAACAGTTTATTCTTTATCTTCTAGAAAGATTAAGTTGTTTAACAAGTGGAAATCTTCAGTGCAAAGACAATCTGAGCATCTCTGAAGATTTGTGTTTTCATCTTCATCTGAAGATGCCCACTATAAGTACAGTCTAGAAGGGAATGAGCAATGAGGATAGAGACAGAGTGAGAGAGAATGTGGTTGTTTTTCCCCTATAATATAGCCTTCTGTGAGGTGATCTTTAATAATTCCAGAAGAAGATAAATACTCACCTTACAAAGTAGAGCTAGGGTTCATTAATCTCTATCAGATTTGCAGCATAGTGGATGATGTATTCGCAAATACAATGTTTGGGCAGTCATAGTAAGGATTCTGAGTTCTACCTTGATCTCTCACATAGCTTGCTTTCTAGCCAAGGGGGTTTTTTAGCATTTTTTCTAACTTCCAATCTAACTATGTTAGAAACTTTACCAACACAGCAGATACCTGATGTTGAAGTTGATTAAATAAACTGTAATATAAAATAAATATATCACACACACACACACCAGAATATCTCCCTTTTTTAATCCCGAGGACGCAGAGCCTTCACTTAATTTAGTAACACCAAACCAGCATATTAAGACAAAACAAAACTACCATGGGAACTAAATTCAAAATGACTTCACTAATGGCTGGTATGAACATACCATTGATATTTTAGACATCAGTTACAATAGCTGATGGAATCAAATCTCATATTCAAATTGTTCCATGATGATTTGAGGAGTTGGCTGGCTTGGGTCCTCAGGACTTCATACCTTGCCACAGAAAGGGTTATGATCCTGTTTCACTAAACCGCTTTTCATGACTGGATGCACTGGGCTTTTCAGGATTCCCAGGCACGCTGACACAAACGCAGGAAGAAGACATCTGCCAGAGCTAGGCGTGCTGAGCCGTCTGTATTTCTGAATTGCCTGCCCCCCAGCAGAAGAACTGGTAACTACAAGCCAGGAAACAACCCTGCCCCAGTCTCCAGAGCAGCTGCTGGTACCCATTGTTTCCACAAGACGTTTAGGTCGCGATGAACTGTGATTTTATGATGCAATCACACTTCATAGGTAGTTTCCAATTTGTCCTAATCACAGTTGACAGGCTATCAAAGACAGACAAGTCGGACAACAAACATACACAGTGAGAGAGAGAGCAGATACACAGAAATACAAAGGGAACCAGGTATTTATGTAAAGAGTCACTGGGTACCCCCAAGCATCTAAATTTCACTCAACATTTTCCATTTGTTTTCCAAAGCATGTCCGAAAAACAATCAGAAAGCATGGATATTCCATTTTATGTTTTGTCATTATGTTACCTATTGCAGGATTAGAGCACCTCTTCAGCACTGCTGGGTTAACTTTGCGAAATGCCACGAAACCTGTTTTGTGTCTGTTTCTTTATATAAAACTAACAGCTGACCAACTTTTCTTTCCTCCCACAACTTCTAAAGGGTAAAACAAAGGTAAAGAAGGAAAAGCAAAAATCATACAGAAGTGATCTTAAAATTAACATGACTGCTTGAATGACAGAGTGGCATTTAAGCCTCATATGAAAAGATCAATCTGATTCACACAGCTAGAAAATAAAGGGTGAAATTGGAGACCCTGAAGTCAATCAAAGTCTTCCATCGAACTTGGAAAGTTTTTGCACATACATACCACCCTACTGACAAGCTCCGTTTCTGGCCATGGAG